TATTTAAACCCCTTAACCTTAGGCATTCTAGTACCTTTATCTATCTTACTTTACCGTTTTAGATTGATTTCGTATTATTTCCATTTTCTAGCACTTATCCCAAAAATAAGCTAACTCAGCCAAATAAGAGCTTAATTGAAGCAATTCTGAGATTAAACAAAGAAAGGAGCAAAGTGGAGAAAGAAAGAAGCAAAATGAAGCAAAGCAGCAAGTTTGATCGATCCAAGTCCAAGGTTCGATCAATCGAACATCGATCGATCTCAGCACTTCAAGACAGATCCAAGCCTTGACCCAAAGCACTTAAGTCCAAAAGTTTGATCAGTCCAACATCATTCTTCGATCGATTGAACACCTTTGTCCTTATCCAAATGATTGATCCTATCCACAACTGTACCACCCACTAACCACTTTTGTCCTTTTCCCATAAATATCTCCCACAAATATCTCGAATTTGTCTTTTTCCAAAAAGGTCAGCCAGATGGATTGATCCAGCTTAAGTTCAATCAATCTCACTTACTTTCGATCGATTGAACTTCCTCCAGTGCGAAAAAGTTAAAATTCCATCTCATTGAAAGTTGTCCTTTATCCAATCATTAGGGAATATTGTGTGCACGACCCCAGCTCATTTTGGGTGTCATTTTGACCTACCTATATAAGGATAAGGATTGTTTTTTCAAAGAAAGAACAACATTAATTTTTATATCATCTCTTGGAGAGGAAGTTTAGAGGAAGAGGAGGCTAGAGACACCATTGGAGATCTTCATCAACAAGGAGCAAACCTCTTCCATGGAGTTAGCCCTTGAGGGTTGGAACATCATCACCATGAGTGGCTAGACATCCTCTTGGGGCTAGAGTTAGCCCCAAGCATGCTTTCTATATCTTAATCTTGTGTATTATTGAGGAATTAGTGTTGTAATTGATGTTTTGACACTTTGATATATATAGATCTTGTTTATTCAATGATTTATGTGGTTTAATGCTTCCAATTGGTCATTTCATTCTATCCATATTTCTATGTATGCTAGAATAGATGTTCATGTGTTTATCTCTAGATTTTGTGTTATTGATGCATGTCTATGTGTATTGATGCTATAGATTTAGAGATTGTCAAAACATTGTGCTTAAAAGAATGCTTTTGTGATTCTCTTGATGGTTCATGCTTACCTCTTGATGGATTGTGCCTCTCCCCTAGTTTATTTTCATCCTAATAGTATAGATGTAGTGTAGTTGTAGTGTAGTGTTAAATGGGAGGACAATTTATGCTTGTTGTTTGATGATCCAAGCTTTTGAATGCAATTAGCATATGTCTCTATCCTTGTGTTGTATTTAGATTGTGAGCTTAATGAAAGGATTAATAACTTGTTTTGATTTATTATGCCTTTCACATGTTGTTTAGACAATATATGCTTCATAGCTTAGATATATTGTGCCTTTCTCATGATGTTTAGACAATGCATGCTTAACTAGTCATCCTTGCTTATTGAATCAACCAAATACACACACACCACTATTGCAACCCATTATTTGCCCTCATTAATCACTTGTCAATGATATAGAAATGCATTGCTTGGTGGTGATATCTAAACCTCAAGATCTCTCTCTCCCTTACTTGCTCTCTTTAGCATTGCATTCTTAGTTAATTTAATTTAGTTGCTCTCTAGCTTAAACAACCAACCAATCACTTGTTTGATCACTTGACCTACTAACCTAAGTTGCGATTCTACAATCAACTCCGACTCCAATCCCTTGGGACGATCCCTATCACCCTAACTATATTTTTAGTGAAGGTAGTAGTGGCTTTTAGGAATGTAAAACTTGGCCCTCGCCTTAATGCACACTCTTAAGCTTATGGTAGGATGACGACCAGGGAGCACCAGGATCGACGACTTATTTGATCAGTTGAAAGGAGCTACTTACTTCTCCAAGATTGGTTTGTGATTTGGCTATCATCAGCTTCGAGTTAGGGAGTAGGATGTTCCTAAGACAGCATTTCTCACTAGATATGGATCTTATGAATTTCGGGTCATGCCTTTGGGTTGACTAATGCGCCAGTTGTCTTCATGGATTTGATGAACAGGGTTTTCAGGGCTTACTTAGATCAGTTTGTCATTGTTTTCATCGATGATATTCTAGTTTATTCTAAGTCAGAGGAGGACCATGCTAGACATCTTTGCATAGTGTTGCAGACACTTCGTGAGCATCAGTTGTATGCCAAGTTCGAAAAGTGTGACTTTTGGTAGCGAAAAGTGAAGTTTCTAGGTCACGTGGTGTCAGAGGAGGGAATAACGGTGGATCCAGCCAAGGTCTCAGCTGTTTTAGAATGGGGACAGCCTACCTCACCCACTGAGATTCACAGCTTTATGGGATTGGCAGGATATTATCACAGATTTATCCAGGGTTTTTTAAATATAGCGGGACCACTCACCCATCTGACTAGGAAGGGGATACCATTTGTATGGGATGAGTATTGTCAGACTGCATTTGACACATTGAAGAGTAAGTTGACTTCTGCATCCGTTTTAGCTACTCCCCAAAGCGGGATAGAGTATCTTGTCTACGTAGATGCTTCTTTGCAGGGTTTGGGATATTTTTTAATGCAGGAGGAGTGACCGGTTTCTTATCGGTCTCGTAAGCTTAAGCCTCATGAGCTTAACTATCCAACACACGATTTGGAGTTAGCAGCTATAGTCTTTGCTTTACGCATTTGGAGGCATTATCTATTGGGGGAGTCCTTCAGACTATTTAGTGACCACAAGAGTTTGCAGTATCTCTTCACGCAGAAGGAGCTGAATATGACACAGCGTAGGTGGTGAGAGTTTGTGAAAGATTACCACTTCTCTATACAGTACCATCCAGGGAAAGTGAATGTAGTGGCAGATGCACTCAGTCGTCGACCATGTGCTGGTCTTTTTGTGATGTTTGTTACATAATGGAATGCTTTGAAGACTGTAGATGAGTTGTCTGATGCTTTTGTGGCGTGCATAGTAATTACACCTGCTATCATCCACAAAGTCTTGAAGGCATAACTTATGGATCAACAGTGCATCGATAGAGTTACGGAGTTAGCTTCTTGTGATGTTCTATTTTACTCTGTTGGGGCAGATGGGGGCTTGAGGTACAAAGGTCGCCTAGTAGTACCTTCTACTGATGATTTGAGAAAAGATGTGATGACGGAGGTTCACAAATCTGAGTTTTCTATCCATCCAGGTGGAGATAAGATGTATCAAGACATGAAGCGACAGTTTTGGTGGGCAGGTATGAAGAGGGATATAGCCATTTTTGTCTCCAAGTGTAGTACCTGTCAGATGGTCAAGATTGATCATCAGAGACCGCCCGATTCCTTGCAGCCACTTCCTATACCGAAGTGGAAATGGGAGAGTATCTTTATAGATTTTATGGAGGGATTACCAAATTCCAACAGGAACCATAATTCTATTTGGGTTATTGTTGACAGGTTGACTAAATCAGCTCATTTCTTGCCTATTCGCACTGATTTCACTTCAGAAGAGTTGGCGAGGCTTTACATTGCAGAGATTGTGAAGCTGCATGGCATACCGATGTCTATCATATCAGATAGGGATCCGAGCTTTGTATCGGGAGTTTGGGGGAGTTTCCAGTAGGCTTTGGGTACCGAACTACATCTTAGCACTGCTTATCATCCTCAGACTGATGGGCAAACCGAGAGGGTAAATCAGATCATAGAGGATATGCTTCATTCCTGTGTCCTTGATTTTAAAGGCAACTGGGAAGATTATTTGCCACTTGTAGAGTTTGCCTACAATAATAGTTTTCAAAAGACTATTGGTATGGCAGAGGTGTTGTACGACCGACCATGTCGATCTCTTGTTTGTTGGTTAGAGGTCGGTGAAAGCAGATTTCTGGGTCCTGAATTTATCAAAGATACCTCAGAGAAGATTGCTCTTATTCGTGACTGTATGCACACTACCCAGAGTAGGTAGAAAAGTTATGCAAATCGTTGTACTCGCATTTTAGAGTTTTAGGTGGGGGATCAGGTGTTACTCAAAGTGTCTCCCATGAAGGGAGTAATGCGCTTTGGAAAGAAAGAGAAGTTGTCACCACGTTTTATCAGTCCTTTTATGATTATGAATCGAGTGGGCGCTGAAGCTTATCGGTTAGCACTTCCGGATCATCTACATCAGGTCCATAATGTCTTCCATGTGTCCTTGTTGCGAAAATTCTTACGCGATGAGGATCACTATCAACATATCGATGTTGGCGAGATTGAGTTACAGCCGGATGCGACGTATATCGAGTTACCTTGTCTTATTCTTGATCGTCGTGAGCAAGTGCTTTGCAACAAGACTATTCCTCTTGTGTGTGTTCAGTGGAGCCATCATAATGAGGTTGAGTCCACTTTGGAACGGGAAGATGTCATCTGTTCAAAATTTCCAGAATTGCTGAAATAAGGTAAAAGGTGAATTCCGAGGACGGAATTCCTTTGTTAGGGGGGAAGAATGTAATACTCCTAAATTTTAAGGCATTTATTTACTTATTTATTTTGTTTTCTTTATCTACATGGCTATTTAAATTGTTAATTTTTATTTGTTCTTTAAATGCGTTTAGTGTTTAGTGTTTATTTTATTTTATTTTTATTTACTTGACTATTTGAATTATTTGTGGAGTGTTTAAATTTAGTAGAAATTATTTTGTTAATTGTAATTTTTTCAATGGTGTTGTTTTAGATTTATTTTTAGTAAATTGTATGGAAGGTATATATATATATATATATATATATATATATATATATATATGTAGGCGTGCATATATATAAAGTATATGTGCACAGTAGTTTAAGGTGAATATTGATGTTAATTTATTATTATAATTTAGCATTTGTGATTTTATTATTAAAATATTATATTGTTACCTTATTAACTTTCAAAGTCAAACGTGTTATAGGTTTTGTGGACTAGAATGAATAGGTCTGTTAGTTATGTTAGATTAGAATTAGGTTTTATATATTATTTATTTATATAGTTAAGTGCTGGGTGGGTAAAGGAGAAACGAAACAGAAAAAAAAAAAAAGAAAAAAGAAAAAAGAACAGAGCGGCGGCAAGACCCAGAAAGGAAAAGAGGAGAAAAGAAAGAGAGGAAGAAAGAAGGAGAAAGAAAAGAGAAATCGGCAAAGAACGGTATAAAGTTTTGACCCGAAACTCTAAGGCAAGTCCTTGTTCAATTCATTCTCTTAGATTTCTTGATCGGTTCATCTCTAGAATGATGTTAGGATTTAATTGTAAACATGAATCAACAGAGAGTATGAAATTATATGGGTATATATATATGTGTGTGTATATATATATATATTCATGAGCATAGTTATTATTTTCTGAAATTTAGATGTACCTATGCATGATTGAGTGCTTTAAATTTTGTTTACCAAGCTTAGTATGAATTTTAGAGATCATTCTGGACATAGTGTTTTAAATCTATTTTACCAAGCTTAGGATGGAGGAGCCGACTCATGCTGGGAGTTGGGTTCTTTGGGGCTTACGAAATTCCTCTGACCATACTGAAGTGGGTTAGTTGAGGTTGTGAAATCACGTGACCACAGAGGGTATCCGTGGTGAACTGGGCATCTACTGGTTGTGTAATTGTATTATATCGTGTGAGTAATTTAATATCAAGCTATGGTAGCATTTACAGTTTGTGTAATTATATTATAGCATGTGGGCAATTTAATATCAAGCTAAGGTAGCACCTACAGGTTGGGTAATTTAGCATGTTGACATTTTATTATCATGTTGTGGTTAGTTATAAGATTGTCCTAGCTTGATTATTTTTTTTTTGTTTTTAGTCACTTTTATGTTTACTATTGTGGATTATTTGATAGTAAGTATGGTAATTTTTATTCTTTTGTTCTCTTTGCACATTGAGGACATTGTGCCGTTTAAGTTTGGGACTAATGTGTGTTCTTTGCATTTAATTCAAGATTTTGAGCATTACTTGTGTATTTGAGGGATTTTTTATGATTGGTCCATGACTAGGTATGATTTTGATGTTTTGAGGACTATATTACTTAGAATTTAAAAATTGCTTGACTTAAGAGTCCAATACTTCTTGTATGCCTTGTGGATGCCATTTAGGAGTAAATTTTTTGAAAGATTGATATCTTGCTTGTACTTGTGGTCCACATCATCTTGATCTTGTGATTGTTTTGAGATTCACTCTAGGATTCTACACTAGCACAGACACGCACTAGCATTCATTTGTGGGGTACATGATTTGTTGACTATTGATTTGATTATATCCCAATTGAGCTAGTAGTGCATTAAAAGCTTTCATTCTTGATAAAGGTGGATAATAACCCCTTTTCACTAAGTAGTTGGGATTCTAACCTCATCAAGCACTGAATTTCTCGCGCCGAAAGGTGGGGGCCCAAACTTTAAGTTAATAACTTGATAAAAATAAGGTTGTTGCAAAAGCAAATAAAAAAGTGAGGACTTCTCCCAAAAGGTGAGAAGTGGGAAATGATTAGATGGAGGTTGTTTTGATTTGTAGCCTAATTGATTTGAGCTTGTAAGTCCTTAGGAGTGTTTAAATACCTAATGCCATAAAGTTGTCTGGTTTGGGAGTCATTGCCCTAACGCTCGACCTCATGGATCGATAAAAAGTTTAATAGATCAACACATTGCATTATGCCTCCATCTTTGATCCTTAGGGCTAGTACAAAAAAAATAAAAAATAAAAATAAAAATTGAGTGGAAAGAATAAGTGCACCTAGTTGAATAAAACTTTAATAAAAGGTCCATTCTTTATCTTGATGATTGGTACTAGATTTGTGTGCTAGCTTGAGGCCGGATGTGATCATTTCTTTAGTTGGTTTAGATAGCAACATATTTGATACCGGTTCACTTAAAAGATTCTAGAGTTGTTTTGATTTGCATGATCATTGTCTTGATGTGTGAAGGACCATACTTGCTTGCTTGATGTTGAAATTTTAGGAGATTGCTTAGAAATGGTTGAAAAATTGCATACTTGAGGTAATTTTCTCCCAATGTTTGTTTGAAATATTGGTCCCTCTTTAGTGAGAAAGAGATTAATATTTGTGGGTATCATTTCTGGAAACACTTACGAGACTTCACTCATCCACTAGGGGTAACCTAGGGGTTTAAAAGACTTGTTGCATACGCTAAATGCAATCGTGTTCCCTAAAAAAGTGGCATTATTGCTTTATAGTTCGTAGTTGTATAGTTGTTCATTTCTTTATTTCCTTCGTAGTTCATTACTAGGGACTAGCAATATTTAAGTTTGGGGATGTGATAAGTGCTGAAAAGTGCGCATTTAAACTCCTTAATCTTAAATGTTCTAGGACCTATTTCTATCTTATTTTTTCATTTTAGTCTAATTTCATGTTATTTCCCTTTTCAGGCACTTATACCCAAAATAAGTCAATTCAACTGAATTAGAGCATTAAAAGAAGCAATCTCAAGCTTAGTGAGAGAAAGGAGCAAAGTGGAAGCAAAGTGGTGAAGAGGCCTTCTCTTATCGATTGAACCAAGCTATGATTGATCACACTGTGATCATTCCAACCATGCCATGATAGATCGAGCCTTTTGTTCTTATCTTCAGGAGCTATTCGATTGATCCAACCTTTCATTCGAATCGATCCTTTTGATCTTATCCTCACCTACCACTTTTGTCCTTTTTCAAAAATATCTCAGCCTTGTCCTTATCCAAAAGGTGCGCCAACATAGTTCGATCGATCCAAACAACCTTGTGACTGATCAAACTGCCACAAGTGTGTGAAAAATAGAGTTCTAGCCAAATTAAAGGTGTGCTCATGGTGCAATCATTTGGAGGTCCTAGTGCACGAGGTCTGACCATTGAGTGTAACATTTGAGCTACCTATATAAGGATTTTGGGCTATTTTTAGAAAGAGGTTGGATTAGAGATAGAGGCTTGGCTAGAGATTAGAGAGAGCAACATACAATTTAAGGAAAGTTATTCCACTCTTTTAGGGTTTCTACTAAGAGCACAAGAGGAGGATGATGACTTCTTCCATGGAGATAGCCCTTGAGGGTTGGATGACAACATCAATGAATGGCTAAACCATTCTTTTAGGGATAGAGATAGCCCGAAGCATGCCTCCCAGATGTAATTCTTGTCTTGACATCTTATATATATGAATCTTGTTTTTACAATGATTTGTATAGTTTAATACTTCCAATTGATCATTTAATTCTATCCATATGTCTATGTATGCTAGAATGAATATTCATGTGTTTATCTCTAGATTTTGTGACATTGATGCATGTCTATGTGTTTTAATACTATGAATCTAGTAATGGTCAAGGCATGGTGGTTAAATAGATAACTCTTATGGTTTATTTAATGGTTCATACTTATTTCTTGATGGATTGTACCACTTCTTTAGTTTAATTAGTTTAATTTTCATGTCACTAGCTTAGTTGTAGTGTAATTGCCTTACTTTCTTAGATAGATGGACAATCCATGCTTGTTGTTTGATATTCCATGCTTATGAATGCAAGTAGTATATTTCTCCAATTTAATGAGTGTGTATTAATTTTGGACTTATGGAAGGATTAATGGCTTAATTTGATATGTTGTGCTATTCATTAGATTAGCTAGACAATGTATGCTTACTTGGCCATCCATCCTTGATAATTCAATTAATGGCATATGCTTTCATTTACAACACACAATCTCCCTAATTTATCAAATATTGAATGTCTAGGAAGGTAATGCTTAGTAGTAAACTCTATGACCCAAGACTCCTCTCTCATATTCTCTACACCTCATTTGTTTTAGTTGTTTTATATTACATTTATTTAGTCTAAATTGTAGTATAATTCAACCAATAAACCATCTTTTGATCATTCGACATAATAATTTGCCATTAATTCCAAAGTGCCGTTCATTTCCCTTAGGATGAGCCTTACTTACTTTAGTTACATTAATAGTTAATAGTGGTAGTGGCATTCTACAAATTCAAACTTGGCCACATTTCATTTCACATTTAACCATGATTTTGTGCAACTAGGGTTTGACAAGCGCTCCAAGTTCTGGCATCGTTGCCGGGGATGTGGTAATGCCGTATTTTGGAACCAATTAGGAATTAATACTCTTTTGATCTTGTCTTTATTTTATTTTATTTTGGTTACTTATTGTGTTTGTTCTTGATTGGCTAGGTACATTGAGCCAAAGGAAGTGAAGCAAAAGGAGCAAGCCAAGCTAAGCAAAGCAAAAGCATAAAAAGCTAAGAATCTAAAAATTTGCAAAGCAAAGCAAGGCAAAGAAAATTTGAAAAGAATTTGAAGTTGCTCAAGGACCCTTTGTGAGTTTTTCTAACTCTTTTTCTAGTTAAATCATTGGCTCGCGTGGTGGCATGTTTTAATTTCTTAGATAAATCATGAGCCTGCGTGGAGGCAATTTATTTGTTCTTGTATATTGTTAAAAGCATTGGAGTATGGGATCAATATATGTGGAGGTTTGTTGATTGATTTGTTACAGAGGAGAAGTACTTGTTACATGCTTATTGCTTATTTTGATTGTGCATGCATGGTCGTAGATCATTGAATCCTACTCTTGTCTCGCTTAATTTGAATCTTGAATCCATTATTCGTAATCCTAGGGGAAGGGGTCATTTTAGTGACTCCATTTCATCAATGGAGGAACATAATGAGGACCACGTAGAGGACCTTGGTCACATCGACCAACAAGGCATCCTTCACCCTAATGTGCATCACCATCATTACAATATTTAAGTACCATTAGGCATGCCTAGACCCTTCATTCCACAACAACAAGGCCACGTTCCAATGGGAATGCCTCAGCTAAATTTTGTTCCACCCTAACCTCCCGTTGTCTAAGGAAACCATGGTGCTCGTGTAGAGCCACCGGTTGTGAACCCTCCTCTTACTTTGAGAAATCATTGTGTGCCAAATGAGTATAATGCATCGACATGCATTCAATTACCTCTATTTAGAGCACACCATTATGAAATCAAACCACAAATAATTCAAATGCTTCCCAATTACCATGGGCTACCAAGTGAAAAACCTTACAAGCATTTGGATGAGTTTCTTGAAGTATGTTCCACCGTGAAATAAACGGATATGTTGGAAGAGGTTTTGAGGTTAAAGTTCTTCCCTTTCACCCTTAAAGATAAAGCAAAATTTTGGTTCAATAATTTGAGGCCTTTTTTGATAACTTCTTGGGCAGAAATTTAACAAGAATTATTGAAAAAGTACTATCCGGTTTCAAATACCAGTGCATTGAGAACTTTAATTCAAGAATAGGTTAAGCTAATTAATTAATTTTTTCTAGATTTTTAAACAACTCAAAATGTCCTCAAATTAACGTAGGTTGAAGAACATATCAAGGCTTATTTTAATATCACATTACAAGTTGATTTCATGCTAAATACAACCATGTGAATTAAATTTTCGTAAAAGAAAATTATTAAATAAAAGTTGCAATATGGTCGTTGTCCTACCATAAGTTTAAGAGTGTGCATTAAGGCGAGTGCCAAGTTTTACATTTATAAAAGCCACTACTACCTTCACTAAAAATATAGTTAGGGCAAGTAGGGATCATCCCAAGGGATTGAGTTGTCGTACTAGCTTGTGGAATCACTATTAGGGTTATTAGGTCGAGTGATCAAACAAATAGTTGGTTGGTTGATTAAACTAGAGAGCAAATTAAACTAAATAATTGAATACAATAAAGAGTAAGTAAGAGAGAAAGATCTGGGGGTTTAGAGGTCACCACCAAACAATACTTTTCTACACCCTTAACAAGTGACTAATGAGGGAAATGTGTGTTGCAATATTGATGTGTGTGTGTGTGTGTGTTCGGTTGATTCAATTAACAAGGATGACCAATTAAGTATATATTGTCTAAGCAACATGTGAAAAGCACAATATATCTAACAATTAAGTATATATTATCTTAGTAGCATGTGAAAAGCACAATATATCTAGCAAGCCATTAATCCTTTCATTAAGCTCACAAGCCAAATACACCACAAGGTTAGAGACATATGTTACTTGCATTCAAAAGTATGGAACATCAAACAACAAGCATGGATTGTCCTCCCATCTAACAACTATACTACCACTACACTACAATTAAGTTAATGACATGAAATTAAACTAATTACACTAAGGGAGAGGCATAATCCATCAAGCAATGAGTATGAACCATTAAGAAAATTACAAGAGCATTCTATTAAGCACTATGTTTTGACAATCTCTAGATTTATGGCATTAATACACATAGACATGCATCAATAACACAAGAAATAGAGACAAACACATGAACATCTATTATAGCATACATAGACATATGGATAGAATGAAATGATCAATTGGAAGCATTAAACCACATAAATCATTGAATAATAAGATCTATATATATATAAGTGCCAAAATATATATTACAACACTAATCTCTCAATAATACACAAAATCAAGATGTAGAAAGCATACTTGGGGCTAACTCTAGCCCCAAGAGGATGTCTAGCCCCAATGATTGGATAAGGACAGCTTTCAATGAGCTGAAAATTTAACTTTTTTGCACTAGAAGAAGTTCGATCGATCGAACCTTGGATTTGGATCGATCGAACATAGCTGAGATCTATCGAACTGAAGTTGGATCGATCCTCAACGGTGGCGCCTTTTTGGATAAAAACAAATCTGAGATATTTCGAAGATATTTTTGGGAAAAGGACAAAAGTGGTTGGTAGGGTGATACAACTAGATAAGATCAATCATTTGGATAAGGACAAGGTAGTTCGATCGATCGAAGAATGATGTTGGATCAATCGAACTTTTGAGATCACGAAGTGCTGAGATCGATCATGTTGGATCCATCGAACTTTGATCTGAGATCGATCGAAGATGTTGAATTCCACTTTTTGCTTCATTTTGATTCCACTTGACTCATTTCTTTGATTCATCCCAGAATTGCTTCATTTTTGCTCTTATTTGGCTGAGTTAGCTTATTTTTGGGATAAGTGCCTGAAAATGGAAATAACACAAAATCAATCTAAAACGGTAAAGTAAGATAGATAAAGGTACAAGAATGCCTAAGCTTAAGGGGTTTAAACACGCACTTTTCAGCATTCATCACACCCCCAAACTTAAATATTGCTAGTCCCTAGCAATGAACTAGAAAGTAAAGGAATAAAATGAACAACTATACAACTATGTACTCGAAAGTAATAAATGGATAACGCCACTTTCGTAGGGAACACGATTACATTTAGCATATGCAACAAGCCTTTTAAACCTCTAGGTTACCCCTAGTGGATGAGTGAAGTCTCGTGAGGGTTTCCAGAAATGATACCCACAAACATTAAGCTCATTCTTTCAAAAGAGGCACCAATATTGCAAACAAGCATTGGAAGAAAACTACCTCAAGTTTGCAATTTTCAAACATTTCTGAGCAATCTCCGAAATTTTCAACATCAAGCAAGAAAGTATGGTCCTCCACACATCAAGAAAATGATCATGCAAATCAAAACAACTCTAGAATCATTTTTAAGTGGACCGGCATCAAATATATTGCTATCTAAGCCAACTAAAGAATTAATCACATCCTTACCCTTAAACTAGCACACAAATCTAGTACGATCATCAAGAGAAAGAGTAGACCTTTTATTAAAGCTTTATTGTTTTAGGTGCACTTATTCTTTTCACTCGATTTTTTTTTTTTTTTTTTTTTTTTTTTTCTAAGGATCAAAGATGGAAGCATGGTGCAATGTGTTGATCTATTAAGTTTTCTAGTGATCCATGAGGTCGAGCATTAGGTCAATGACTCCCAAACCAGACGGCTTTAGGGCAGTAAGTGTTCAAACACCTCTACGGACTTACAAGCTCAAATCAACTAGGCTACAAATCAAGACAACCTCCATCTAATCGTTTCCGTTTCTCACCTTTTGGGAGAAGTCCTCACTTTTTTATTACTTTTGCAACTCATTTTTTTTTTATTCAATTATTAACCTAGAGTTTGGGCCCTCCACCTTTCAGCGCGAGAAGTTTAATGCTTGATGAGGCTAGAATCCCGGCTACTTAGTGAAAAGGGGTTATTATCCACCTTTATCAAGAATGAAAGCTTTCAATGCACTACTAGCTTAATTGGGATATAACCAATTCAATAATCAACAAAGCATGTACCCCACAAATGAATGCTAGTGTGCGCCTGTACTAGTGCAGAATATTAGAGTGAATCTCAAAATAATCACAAAATCAGGATGATGTGGACCACAAATGTAAGCAAAATATCAATCTTTCGAAAAATTTACTCCTAAATGGCATCCACAAGGCATACAAGGAGTATTGAACTCTCAAGTCAAGCAATTTTTAAATTTTAAGCAATATAGTCCTCAAAAGATCAAAATCATCACTAATATGGACCAATCATAGAAATTCTCTCAAATACACAAGTCATGCTCAAAATTTTGAATTTAAAAGCAAACACTATAACATACACCATTACCCCCAAGCTTAAATGGCACAGTGTCCTCAATGTGCAAAGAGAACAAAGGGAAAGAGTATACAGGTGTAATTAAAGCAAAGAATGGCTGGGACTGAAGTATCCAAAGTGGGTGGCATGCCCCCCCCCCCCCCCCCCCAAACTTGGGATTAACTGTGGTCCTGAAATTTGGCACTTGGATAACCTCATTAGATAATAAAAGGGATAATATAGTGCACAGTGGCCATGCAAGTGTAAATGGGATAGCAACTGAAAATAGAGAGAGGTATAAGGGTGATCCTGAAAATTAGGCATCACTCTCTCTCACTGAAGTCACTAGATGCACCTGATGGAGTCAAACAGATAGATATAAGAACATAATAGATGACATCCATAGCAAAAACATATATATATAAAATAAAGTATAGAGTACATTAAAAGATCAAAGCCGACATATCCAACTGTAAATAATATACAGTGACAAAAATGAAGTATGAATGACAGAGATGTAGTATGAAAAGATAGAAGAAACTGGGAATCTCAGGTGGACGAGGTAGGAAGGGCAGGGCGTGCTCCGCGGACATCCCTAGATAAATCTCAGAACATAGTCGTGATATCGGTGCGGAGTGCAGCAAAATCAGCTCTGTAGGCAGTAATATCAGCTCGCATAGCTACCACTGCATCCTCAAGAGCCTGAAGGCACTCTCCAAAGCCGGGGGTCTAACTGGGAGCCTCAGGTACATAAGAATCTGAAGAATGAGAATCCTGAGTCTATTCGTCCTCGTGTACTTGCGACCCAGCTGGAGAGTGCTGCTCTGCGTCATCGGCAAGTCGCTCTAAATTAATGTCCATGCGCTCAGTAACCGGATCAACTAGTGCGTCATCCATTGCCGGGTCTGCTGCTGCTGCTGGCTCCTCAGCCTCTAAATCCTCTGTCGCCTGTGCGGTGTCCTCCTGTAATCGTGCAATAATAGCATTATAGCTCTTGTCCCAATCCTTCTTCAGGAAGCAATAAGATCC